GGGAGAGTACTGAACTTGAAAATTTCTAACAGGCTAGGACACTCACTTTCAGGTCAGCTGCTCGTGTGATTTGCATCAATGACTTACAAATCACGAAAACTGTGATGATTTGATGTGTATCCTAGAATCACAGAATGGTTTGGGTTGGGAGGGACCTTAAAGCCCATCTAGTCCCACCCCCCCTGCCATGGGCAGGGACCCCTTCCACTAGACCAGGTTGCTCCAAGCCTCATCCAGCCTGGCCTTGACCACTCCCAGGGATGGGGCATCCACAGCTTCTCTGGGCAACCTGTGCCAGTGCCTCACCACCCTCTCTGGGAAGAATTTCTTCCTGATGTCCAATCTAAACCTCCCCACTTTCAATTTAAACCTCTTACTGTACCAGTATGTGCTTGTCACTTCCTCTGTAGTTTATGACTTTCTAAGGCTCTTGTGTGAGGAGGAAGAGCTCATCAAAGTACTTTTTGTCAAACGACCAGAACTAATTAACAGTCGCTGTTTCTTTTCTGCTTTTTTCCCCTTGGCATACCACGCATTTAGATAAAAGGAGATCCTCACAAAGCTTGGTGACACTATTAACTTGATTTTAAATGCTGGAGGTCAGTAAGATAGCACAGAGCTTGTATTAAATATTAAAAGCAGTTCTGACAGTATTCTTACAAACTGAACTGTGGTTGTTTTTCTTTTTAAATTTTGTAAATACAAGTCCTAATAGGGTCATAATTTATATAGCACAACTCATATCTGTGGATTTAAAACAAGGTTCTTAATCTTACTCTTTTTTCATGGTAAATACTATTTGAATTTAGACTGTGAAGTGTATTGTGTTTTGTTAGGCTTAAATTATTTCATAATTCTGAATGCTAATTGTCACGTAAAGCTTCTGAAAATACAGCAGCAAGCAAAAGTCAGCTTTCTGGATGGACAGTCCTGTCAGGGAGACAGGAGTGGAAATCACTCCGACCCTCTCCTTGAGCTTCCATTCCAAAGTTGTTGGTTCCAAGTCGGCTTTGTTTTGCCTTGCAAAGATTTCAGACACCTTTTTAGCATATTATGAAGAAAAACATTTCTTGATGTTATATATTGTGTTGACTGACTCAGTAATTTGTGGTGGTGCTGATTCTATATATTACAAAAACCCCAACACCACCAAAACCACCCCCATAAAGTAGCTAGGCATTGAGATAGACACTAGTTTAGTGATAAAACTGCATTAAAATTTATTGTGGGGAAAAAAGAAACCCATCTGAGAATTGATTAGGAAATTATTGTGAAGAATGGAAGTATAAAACAATAAAAAATAAAGAGAAAAGCAGTTTTTAGCACTGCTGAGAGTAAAGCTGCTCAGGGACTTCTTCTCTAGACAGTGGAGTACACCCAAAACCCAGGTAGCTGTTCTCTGTATTTAAGGATTTAGGGCTTTTACTCATGGAAACCAAAGTCCAGTTAAACATGTTGTTGGGACAGAGCTGATGTAAAGATCAAGAAGGTGGGAAGCACCCGCGTGGCCTGGAGTTTCACCACAACCAAATAAAGATTAGCCAAGGATAAGTTCTGCTGGTTTTGTCCATAAAAGGAACTTTCAGACTGGGGGGGGAGGGAGGGGGGAAATCACTACAAATGTTAGCCGTGGGGGCATTGCTGCAGGGTAACATCCTGCAGAGGCTCACTTAACACAGCCCCGCTTAGAGGGTTGCAGAGGTATGGTAAGCCCTGGGTAGCGTGAGAAGGGACTGAGTCAAATTTCAGTGGTGTTCCTCATCCTGATGCCAGTGACTGTTTGACCCTGAGAAATTCTAGCCCTAATTGCCTTCTCCCTTTTCACGCTAATTACATGGGGCTTCCCTAGCCATTGCAGGAAGTCTGGGGTGAAAAGCAGCCTTTGACTTAATTAGCATAATTTATTCTGTGGCTGCATCTAGTAGCACTAATCACATACTGAGCATCAAGATAAAGTAAAAACTCCTTTCATGTAAAAGGAACACATTGGAGGGGACCTGTTGACCTGAAGTGCTGCTTAAAAGCTTTAAGAAGCCATATAAAAATCTGTAAAAGATGGAGTGAATAATGTCACTTTAGAAACAAGCTACTGCTAAGCATTCCTGTTCGATAAAGCTGGAGCTGGGGGTCAAAGTTTGGTGACTCTTACTTAGAGGGCTGGTAACTGTCTGGTTAACAACGTTACATTTTGCTCATCTGAGCAAGGGGCAGGTTGTTGGATACCGAGTAGAGGGACTAAAGCTGAACAGAGTTTGCCCTGATGAGCTTGAAAACTCCCTGCAGGCTGCAGAATGCACTGAACAGAAGGGTTTTTTCATGTTTAAATGTAACAAAAGGAGGTTGTCATTAAGCCCATCAGTTTTGCAGAGTGGGGGTAGATGCATTTGAGAAAACTTGTCTCTGTGTATTTCTGCATTATCATAGAGTCATGGAATGGTTTGGGTGGGAAGGGACCTTAAAGACCATCTAGTTCCAACCCCCCTGCCATGGGCAGGGACACCTTCCACTAGACCAGGTTGCTCAAAGCCTCATCCAGCCTGGCCTTGAACACTCCCAGGGATGGGGCATCCACAGCTTCTCTGGGCAACCTCTTCCAGTGCCTCACCACCCTCTCTGGGAAGAACTTCTTCCCGGTATCTAATCTAAACCTCCCCGCTTTCAATTTAAGCCCGTTACCCCTTGTCCTGTCACTACAGACCCTTGTGAAAAGTCCCCCCCAGCTTCCTTGTAGCCCCTTCAGGCACTGGAAGGTGCTATAAGGTCTCCCCGGAGCCTTCTCTTCTCCAGGCTGAACAAGCCCAACTCTCTCAGCCTGTCCCCATAGCAGAGGGGCTCCAGCCCTCTGAGCATCTTCCTGGCCTCCTCTGGACTCGCTCCAACCGGTCTATATCCTTCTGATGCTGGGGGTTCCACAGCTGGATGCAGAAATCCAGGTAGGGTCTCACAAGAGCAGAATGAACCAGGATTCACTCCGAGACAAGGAATCGAGATGTTTCAGCAAGGTCAGTGATTGCTCTGGGAAAGAAACTTGGGTTCTTCAGAGCATAGCGAAACACTGGTGGGAATAATAAAAAGGAAGAGGCCAAGTGGCCAGAAGAAGGAGAAACAGGGAAGGTCATCATGCCTTTGCATTTCCAGGAAGGGCAGCACGGAAAGAAGCCAATGAGAAGTGTGTGCACTCCCAAGTCCAAGGAAAGATGATGCAAACCAGCCCGAGAGCTGATCTGGTTGAGAAATGACGGAGAAGTAACTGTGTGGTTATGAGTCAATAACTGTTTGGGGTTTGGGGTTTTTTTGTTATGGATATGACAGCTCTAATGTTGCCAAAATCACAATTTTTCACACCGTGTAGTTTTGAAATTATAAATCTGAAGTCATTCTTAAGTTGTTGCTCTGAGCTTTTCGTTGATGCACTGTAAGGGAAAAGTGTTCTTTTGTTTAGAAATAAGGCTAAATTGGGGAAGCTGTAATGCTACTTTTAATACTAGTAAAACTAGCTTAGGTTTCCTAGGCCTTTTCTTACTGCCTTAGCCAGGTGCTGCAGCTTGCTTTGCATGCATGCTGTGCTCCTTCTTCTTACTGCGGCTACAGATTCCTCGCTTGTGCCATCGGATTTTAATAACACTCATCTGTAGGATCACCTAGACCTGTAGTCGGACAGTGCGCTGGGTACTGAGTGTTGAGCTGATGGATTTTACTGCTGTCATTCGGGGAATCACCTGGACGAAAAAGCTCAATGTCGGGTTTTGCCCACTTCATTCCCAGTTTTACGGACACTGCTTTCCCCCTGAGAAGCCAGATGATGTTTTGTCGCTTCTGGAGTTCTGAAGCTGCGATGTTGGAAGGAAACATTGTGCTCAAGGCTCCACAGAAGGAAAGGAAGGAAACATTGTGCTCAAGGCTCCTGTTGAAAATAAAAACCAGAAGCCAGCAGCCCTGTGTTTTCGATGTTAATTATAAATATGTTACCAAAGTATTTTCCCATGCAGTCTTGTCGCCTCAGCACAAATCTGCTCTGTACATGACACACAAGCAGCAAAAGCCTGGGAGTTTGTTTCTGCAAGACTGCTGTTTGTTACTCACGTCAGCAGAAGTACTAATGTTGCTTCAGCCGGAGCCTTCTCCATTCCACGTACATCCTCTCTGCATTGCTTCCTCCCTCAAGCTCTTAGTAGGTCCAGATGTATCCCAGCTGCCTTGCCTAAAGTACCTAAAATCAAAATGGTTTTCGTTCTGGGGCGTGAGGGCAGAGAGTTACTGTAGCTCTTGGCAGAGGTAGCCCTGGAACAAGACTGCAGAGGTCTGGATAGGCCCCAGTGCACTTTGATCTGAGTTCTGACCATAATTTGTGTATTATCATATGTAACATATCGAGTAGATATGTAGCAGAAATGGATCGACACTAGGTACAGCAGGAACCGATGGTTCTTTGGTGGTGTGTGGTTTTGTTTTTAATATGACCTTTTATGTATTTTCTTGTTTTGTTTGCTCCTCTTTTCAGGAATGGCTGTTTAATAGGAAATAATAAGTACAACTGTGTCTCAACTCTGCAGTCAGCCAACATCTAATGGACTTTTTGCAAAGGCTTAGATATCGGGAAGAAGTTCTTCCTAGAGAGGGTGGTGAGGCACTGGCACAGGTTGCCCAGAGAAACTGTGGATGCCCCATCCTTGGAAGTTTTCAAGGCCAGGCTGGATGAGGCTTTGAGCAACCTGGTCTAGTGGAAGGTGTCCCTGCCCATGGCAGGGGGGTTGGAACTAGATGGTCTTTAAGGTCCCTTCCAACCCAAACCATTCTGTGATTCTGTGACTGTTATTGAAACAGAAAGAGTGCTTGTCGGTTAAATAACTAAAAAATTATCTGGCAAAATACGAGTATTCCGAAGTACTTCAGAGCACTGATCTTCTTTGGGAGTTGTTTTTAGAGAAGAAGGAGCAAAATCCATCCAGTGTGGTTGTCTGTCCGCAGTATAACGTACTGTCACTGGTGATTTTTTCTAGGGGTCGCCGCTGTTTGAGCTTATCAAGCAGTCGAAAGAACGAGAAAGCCAAACGGACCAGCCTGAGCCCGCTGCCACTCTCCACCTGCCTCTCCAACACAGTCACACTGCTGCAGACCTGTAAGTGGCATGCGTGCTTCCGGTCTAGTGGAATGTGAAGTTAATGTTGCCCTCAGTATTTAAATCCACTTGTATTCTGTTTTCTTACTTGTTAGGCCGGGTGTTTACGTTATTTATTTAACAACTGTTAAAATGGTTTTATTTGCTGCTGTTTATTATACATATAAATTTAGCTCAATTCTGAAATGTTGGGGTTTTTTTTCCAAGCCCTATCAAACTTGTAATTGCAAACTGCTCTCTTGCTTAGGAGTAAATAACTGCCTTTATCAGGTATTTAATGAATAACTTGAATTTTTAATTCCTGATACGGGAATAACAGGTTACAGTACCAATTAATTTCTTCTAATGGGGGAAGAGGGAAGAGTTCCTGCAAGTAATACTCAAATAAAACTGTTCCTTTATCCTGCGATGTTAAATTGCTTAATGTGTGTTTAATCTCCAGCTATCTTTCTCCTGTGAGATCTCCTAAGAAGAAAGCATCTGGACCTCCTCCAAGTGCTACTCCCAGTCCAGATGCTCAGCCAGTTGTGACCCCCCAAACACAGAAACCACAGAAATCTACCTCCCTCTCTCTGTTCTACAAAAAAGGTTTGTTCCTTCCGCACGTGTGGAAAGTGCCAAGTTACCTCTTGCTGTTTTATCCTTTTTGGGTTTTGGAGCTCAAAGTTTCCTAAAAGATTATACCAGACCCTGTAGTAAACGCCGTCCCGACCCTCAGCTGTGGTTGGAAGTAATAGTAAAAGGGTGCCAGCAGGTTAATGCGTCCCCTCTGCACGGTGCAAGTTCAGACTCAAAACTTACCTACTTACTGTAAGAATGGCCACAGGGGCTCGGACGGGGGGTCCTTCTGTCACAGTATCTCTTTTCCAGCACTGACCATAAACAGATGTCGTGGGAAGCTTAAGAACCGGACAAGCAGCTATGGCGCTTCCCGTAAACGTTTTCCTGAGCTTTGACCTTCTCCAGCTCGGGGGTTTTCCTGAGCCTTTTGTAGCATGTCTGCTTAGTAACTCTCAGTCGATTTGTGTTCCGAGTGCTTGTTCAGGCTCCTTCCGAATCAACGCAGGCGTACTTGTGCAGCACTGCTTGCTGTGGAGCTCCGCCTGCCCGCTACCTGTTGTACAAAGAACCTTTTCCATTTATTTTGAACCTGGCTTCTCCTACCTTCACTCGATGGCTCTTGTGGTGGGAGACAGTGAACGTTCAATTGCTGTCCTCCCTTCGTTGTTCTAGTTTTATTTTGTATATCCCTGTTATTGCCACTGCAGCTGCTTCTTCTTCTCCCTTCCTCCAGTGTACCTGCTGGCCTATACACGGCTCCGTACCCTGTTCTTCCGGCTTCTCTCTGAACACCCTGACCTGGAGCCCTTGATCTGGACCCTCTTCCAGCACACGCTGCAAAATGAGTATGAGCTCATGAGAGACAGGCACTTGGACCAGGTAACACTGACATTTTTATCAAAAGAGTGTAGAAAGACTCTCCTGAGCAAAATATCCCTTCACCTTTAACCATTAGAAATTATTATCTGTGTTTTTCTGTTGATCACTCAAAGGGGAAATTAGAGCGCGGTCTCTTTTTGACTATCTCATGGTTTTTACGTACTGGCGGTTACGTACTGTTGAATCTTCAAAATGCTCCTTACAGCTGTTTTCAGAATACTGAGACACCAAGTTTTCTGTTAATTTGCATAAGAAAATACCGTGTGGTTTGTTTTTAAAGACGAAATGTATGCCTGATCCATGTTTTGTTGTTCTACCCTAAAACTGCAGCATGTAAAACAAGTTTGGGAAGGGTATTATCAGCTTCAATTAGTTGATTGTCATAGAGAAATGAAGGAAACAGTAGTTGACTTTATTTTCTGGCAGTTCGGATGAAGCCGAGTTGCATGCTGGTTTACAGAGCACAGGCAGTAACAGTAAGCTCATCACTTGATTTCTTAACTGGAAATGAAGAAGCTGAAGTCATTTTCTGCATTTCCACTTGTTTCTCTGACAGATCATGATGTGTTCCATGTATGGCATCTGCAAAGTAAAGAATGTAGATCTTAGATTTAAAACAATAGTTTCGGCGTACAAGGAGCTTCCCAACACAAATCAAGAGGTATGGAAATTCTTCATTGCTGTCTCTCCATAAAAACGTTATCAAATAATTATTTCTTTGTCTAAAACAAACAAACAAAAAAACTCCCACCCCAAACTACACTTGAGCGTGCAGAAGAAAACTTCTGCTTCACTCTAGCTCCGTTTTGTGGAGGAGAAAACAGTCTCTCGTGCTTAAATGTCCCTTCAAGCATCTGGCCCAAGCAGTCTGGCAGTTCTCCTCAGGAAGCAAACGTCATTCTGCCTTTTCACCTCAAGGTGCCAAATGGTTGTTTGTGATTCTCTTTGGAGACTAGATGAAGGATTCACGTCTAGAGCTGATAGGTAGCCCTGAAGGGAAGGAACCTGGGTTGCTTTTGAAAGGCCTAACTCCCACGGAGCACGGAGGGCAGCGAAGCAGGTAGCCTTCCGTAGAAGCCTTCCATAGAAACAAGGTTAGGTACCCACAAGGGCTGCACAGTTATGTGTCAAACAGGTGGGTATGTACTCAGGTTGCAGGCTTAATTCTGACACTGAGAAGTTGTTTCTTTCTTAAGGGCCTTACTGTACTTGATTTTTTGCCTGAAAGTGTAATTAAATCAACAGGAAAAAGCCTCACCGAACGGTTAATTGAACTGTAGGCATCCTTTTAGCAGCAGTTTCTCATCCTGTATTTGCATGTCTTGGTTAACAGACTTTAGTCTCCAGAAAACCTATTTTATCCACATCAGGTGGGTAAGGATTTCTCTTTTCTTTCAGCCTTGCAAGGCGTGCACAGTAGCGAAGGCTTCGGGGTTGTGTTTTTTTGGACAGCTGTGTGTGAACATTTCTAGATCTTAAATTTGGAAACCGTTGGTTACAGTGATGAACTGCGGAGCCGTAAGGGGAGATGATGCTCACAGACTTCTGGCACGAAGCCAGCAATTCGGAAGGGTTCTGAGCAGCAGTTAGGAGGGCCGGCACGCAGTACGCTCTTGTCTAACGCAGACTTTACCCACAGCTTTAGGAGTTTGTCAGCTGTAAATTTTTCGTCCCTCCTTTTTGACTTATTTAATATTTAAAAAAATTTTTTTTTTTGGTATGGTTTTCTCGCCCCTTGTAGACGTTCAAACGTGTTCTTATCAGGGAAGAACAGTATGACTCCATTATAGTCTTCTACAACTTGGTGTTCATGCAGAAGCTGAAAACAAACATTTTGCAGTACGCCTCCAACCGGGTAAGCCCTCAGCCGCGTCCAGCAGTCACCCTTTAACAAAAAAGGAACAGGGAGACAATCAAAACTTAACGACTACCGTGTTATTTTTATAGCCTCCCACTCTGTCACCTATCCCACACATTCCTCGCAGCCCTTACCAGTTTTCCAACTCCCCTCGGCGTGTCCCGGCTGGCAACAACATCTACATCTCGCCCTTGAAGAGCCCGTACAAATTCTCCGACGGGTTTCAGTCGCCCACAAAGATGACTCCAAGGTCTCGGTAGGTTGGCTGACAAGCGTTTCTTTGACTAATTTAAAAGCGTGTGGGGGGATTTTAGCGGAAGAAAATCAGAAAATGGCAGAGCCTGGGGGTTATATCTTTTCTGGTTAGAAGTCTGTGCCCTGTGTTTGGAATCGTTGTTGATGAACGAGCGCTCCTCTGCCGCAGTTTAGTCGGTGCGCTCCAGGAGTTTGGGGGGTTTCTTATTTTTCTTATTAGAATACTCACACCCAACAGCACTTTTCTGACCTAGTTGCTTGAACGGTGTTGGTTCCGACGCTGGATTGCACTTGGGAAAAGCCTAAACAAGCTTTGTAGGCTTGTGTGAAAACACTTGTTCAGAAAGAACAGGTTGAGAGTATTTAGGTGGCTGAGCAGAACGTTTCAAGCTGCCGCTCACGGGTCCTTCAGCAGACGGCGATGAGAGCAAATGCACGGGTCTCCAAACGGGTCAGGTGAGCCCCGCTGCACCTGGCCCACTGCGTGCAAGAGTTGAGGTATTCCTGTGTGAAGTCCTGCATGGCTGTGGTTAGCAAACACCTGAAGGTAACGAGGAAAGGACGATTATCTGGGTACCCAGCACTGGGGTGATAAGGGATGGACTGTGGAGCCGCTGACTCCTTCAAGCCACAGTTTCTTTCCTGTCCGTGTGACAGGACCGATCTGGCGGGTCAGCATCCGCCAGCCTAGAGGCAGTAAGGAGAAGGACAGGATTGCACCGTTGAGGCGGAGAGACTTTGTTAATGTCCTGTGCTAAGCTCTGCAAATGAGTGGATGTTTCTGTCGTTGATAAATGTAGCTTAACCTGAAACACTTCTCTTCTTTGTTTGGCAGAATTTTGGTGTCGATTGGGGAATCATTTGGGGTGAGTATTTTTTTTACATTTTTCATGTCTGGTCCTGAGTGCATGTAACTTTTGGAGGAATGCCCTTTTCACAAGGGCCTGTAGTGACAGGACAAGGGGTAACGGGTTTAAATTGAAAGTGGGGAGGTTTAGATTAGATATCAGGAAGAAGTTCTTCCTGGAGAGGGTGGTGAGGCACTGGCACAGGTTGCCCAGAGAAGCTGTGGATGCCCCATCCCTGGGAGTGTTCAAGGCCAGGCTGGATGAGGCTTTGAGCAACCTGGTCTAGTGGAAGGTGTCCCTGCCCATGGCAGGGGGGTTGGAACTGGATGGTCTTTAAGGTCCCTTCCAACCCAAACCATTCTGTGATTCTGTGCGCATAGCGTGTGATGGAATCTGTAAGCACAGGGATTACAGGAGTGTCCTTGTTACTCCTGTCAAATATCCAGACTATTAAAGCTTGTAAAATATTTTGCATTTTAATTTAGTTGCTTTGAAAGAATATAGAATTCTTAAAACTGTTGGGGTTTAGAACTCCTGATTTTTTTTTTTTTTTTTTAGGGGATAATCTGGAAAGTTTGAGTAGTCTCAGGATTTATTGGCAATTCTTTCCTTATTTTCTTGTCATTTCAGACTTCTGAAAAGTTTCAAAAAATAAACCAGATGGTGTGCAACAGTGACTGCCAGCTGAAACGCAGCGCGGAAGCGAGCGCTGCTCCCAAGCCCCTGAAGAGGCTGCGCTTTGATATAGAAGGGCAAGATGAAGCAGATGGAAGGTGAGAAGAGGGTATATATTCGGTTCTCAGGGCCTTCCCTCCGAACTTCTCCCTGGCATCCTAGCTCCTGGTGATTTGTGAACTTGAGTGTGTATGTTAGGTGGGTGGTAGCGTGGTACTTCTCAGTTAGACGCTCTGATGCCAGCAGCAAGGATTTGCTTGGTGCCTACGTGTCCAGCATCCCAGCTGAACCGCGCTGCTGGCGGCAGTATCTGAAAAAACACCGAACCCCAAATATTTCAGACATAGGAGACATCAAGCAACTCGAGTTTAGTGTGTAGGAAGAAAGAGTTTGAGTCTTTGTGAGGGGAGGCAGTAGCACTGACATGAACAATCCTTGAGTTTAAAGCTGGGTTCTGAGGATAAAAAGCTGTGGTTTTGTTTTTAACTTCTGCTTATGCTTTCTGCCTGCAGCAAACACCTACCCCAGGAGTCCAAGTTCCAACAAAAGCTTGCGGAAATGAGTGAGTATTACTGGTTTCGATGAACCGCACCAGCAGCGAGTGCTTCGGGTAACCCAGCTGGCCCCAACTCGGCCAAAACGGCGGGTCAGCGTTGATGTTGCTTCGGCGACTCGCTCCGTTTTGTCTTGAATATGCAGATTATAAAATGGGAAGCCTCAGAAGCCCTTTCGAGGGTATTAAATGGCAGAGCAGCGTAGAGGATGCTGTATAAGAAAGAAAAGGAGCGTGACGTGTTAATCCTGAACCCTGGAATTCTTGAAATGGAATTAAATGCGTGGAGAGCCTTTCCCTGCTGTTGCAGTGATGGCCCCTTAGCTGAGAGCTTGTGGGTAGAGATGAGTAGTGACTGCAGCAGCGTGGGGTTGACCAGAACACCTTCCTGTGTCTGCACTGTAGCAAAGGGAAATTATATACACACAGGGCAACTGTATGTAATTTTGTATGTTGCTCTGCCATCTTTTACGTGAAAATAATGTGAATGCCCCATCCCTGGAAGTGTTCAAGGCCAGGCTGGATGAGGCTTTGAGCAACCTGGTCTAGTGGAAGGTGTCCCTGCCCATGGCAGGGGGGTTGGAACTAGATGGTCTTTAGGTCCCTTCCAACCCACACCATTCTGTGATTCTATGAAAATGCCTGAGACTGCTTTTTCTTCTCCTGTGGATCAACATTTCTTAAAGATTTTATGGGATTGCTTTTCTGTTTTTCAAATCACAGATTTATGTTGGAAGGGACAAACAACAGTTGGTCTGACCAGGCATTCTCACCCTGGTGTGATCCCAGCTCTAGGGGATTGGCCCATTAAAAATTGTTACCTTGCAGGTGTTTGCTCGCTGGGATGAGCACGGATCTGGGCACATCTCGTTTATTGTAGGCTAGGGAAAATGTTGCGGTGTTTGCTTGCGGCAGAGGTTAAGAAGGGTTGTTCTGTCTCACGTTCCAGCTGTGGTAGTGCGTAGCACTGGAGGGGTGGGAAGGCAGTTCCCTGCTGGCTGGCTCTGGCACGCGGGGACTGCTCAGCCCCTGGCATCTGTCTGGCAAGAGGAGGAGACCCCCTGCGTGGTGCAGTCCGTCTGCCCGCCTTTAGGATGGGAACAAAGCGAGGGCGCAGAAGCACTGGGAACTTCAGCGGATGGGTGGAACGAATTTAAGACGCACGAGATCGAGCAGGCACTGCCGCCGCCGCTCAGAATTCCGTGTTCGCTTGTAAAAACACGTGACTTGTTTTATTCAGAATAGTGTCATTCAGGTCCTTGTACCGGCTACCAGTTCTTACAAGAAGTAATCACGTTCACGGTGATTCTGACACCGTATTTCCTATCGTTCTTTCTAGCATCCACACGAACGAGAATGCAGAAGCAGAAACTGAACGATGGAAACGATACCTCAGCCAGTGAAGACAAGTGAGATTCTTCTCAGGACCAGGGGGCTGCGCCACGGGGCCCCCTGAGCTTGTTTTACCGCCCTCGTTAATTGAGTTGCTTTTTTAGTTGCTGCTTATGCCGACCTGTTAGTTGAAAGCCTTTGGACTTTTAAAATTTTTAAATGTTTCCCATGATATTTCGCCTTATGAGGTAGCATATACACAGTGTAAGCCACTGAATTTAATTTATATATATATTTTTTTGAGGATTTTTAAGAACAGGCTTGGAAGGTGTGTTTCCTATTACAGCGTTATTGGTTTAAGCCAATTCAGTCTACTCGGCTCGAGTTTTTCCGTCTGAAGACAAAAGGTTAGCTAGGATGATTTGAAATGCACTAATTTTGTTTCTTAGCCTTCGTTTTTAGCTTTTCCTGACTCGCAGATACTGCAGAAGATTTCTGACTGTGTCTATAATTAGCGCATCCGACAAACTGCCCGGTGGTCGCGGGCCTCGCGGAGTCGGGTCCTTGCGGTAGAGGTACAAGCGGAATTCAAAGGGAACCCCTTCCGCAGCCGTACTACTGAAACCAGCGCCTAGCGTCCTGGTGTTTTCCTTCCCCGCTCTGACTTGGGAGGGCAGTTACACTGTCCATCCGTTTGAATTTCACGGAGTATGAATCCCGCAGAGAGTCTTCCCGGAAGCTGAGGCTTCTTCCCGTACGCGGAGTCCTTGACGTGCACTTCCTCATCTCGGAAAATCTCATTGTTAAAAGAACCCCAAACTGCCTGGTAGATGTCAGGTTTCAAAATTCTAATGATGTAGAATTTCCTTGATCTCTTCCAATTTTCACTGAG